GCATTCATTTTCGCCAACCAAAAGAAGTGACGTAAAAATGCATTAAGCAGAAATTGTCAACAATTTTTCAAGCCACCCCCATGGAAACCTCCTCCTCCTCCTCCTCCTCCCCCCCCACGACAACGAACCGTCGAGGGGAGCATCCCCGACGCGATGGCGTCAAGTCCGCCTGAATAAACAGAACTTCCCCCTCTATGGGGCTTTTGGAAGTGTGGATATTCGGATGTGGGGATGTGGGGAGGGAAGGCTGATAACCCCAGATGGCAGTCAAATCTGTCTGAATAATGACTGCACTGTACCGAGGACACAAATAGTGCTCGATACCTTCTGCCGGACAACCCGGACCCCATTCGGTTATCGGATCAGTTTTCTTGGGGTTGGATTTGCTGTCAGTTCGAATTACATTTTCGTATGATTTTCAATTTCTAATGTCCTTACAATGGCAGTACAAATGATGATGAATTTGGCGACAGATTTCGCAGATTTCCCGACACTCTGGAGTGTCAAAGATCCAGATACTGCAGGGTTGAAGGGTAATTGTTCCACAATTCCGAAAAACCTCACAGCCGGTTGCAGCCCAAGTTTTGTGTGCTTCCCTGCGCTGCTAAATTAATTAAATGCCATGTCCTGGCCAAGAGTATGGGGCTCTTTGCCCATCTGTTGCATAAGTGTATCTCGACGTTATGCACATTTCAAAAGCCAAGCTCCATAAACTTGGACATTGCAAAGTTTCCACTTGATCCAGACTCCCTTTCCTCTCGAAGAGCAAACTTATAGCTATTCGCCAGCTACTTCGTGAAAACTGTGTGGTCACTCAGGCAAACGCTGCTGCTCTCAGCCAGGGAGTTCATGCGGAAGGGAAATAATGTGGAAGTTTAGGTCACTCTTTTACGGGGTCTTCTACTCTGCACCAAGTTTAATTTTCATATTTTTTTTTGGTTTTTTTTTTTTGTTTTTTACGCAAAGTTTTAATAAGCTGGTATTGGGGCTCGCAAACCTGCTTGACAGAATGTGCCATCATTTTTGCAACTAGAATGAAAAGCACTTGGACTGAAGTTTGGTAGGGTTTTCAGAAGAGTGTCAACGATAACTACATATCCCATATGGATCAGTGATTAATTAAAGACAGAAGATCATATTTTGCTTAAAAAAGCTTGAGATGAGGTTCGGAAGCCATCCATTCCTTAACTGGATTAAACTGAATCTTTTTACTTAGCTAAAGCCCGAAAGCTTCACAGAAGTAACAAACCTCAGAGAAATCTATTAACTAAAGCCACTTGTGATGAGTGTAATCCCAATCTCGACTCCAATCTGAATCCGACGGTGGTTTGATGGTGTAAATCACGCACGGCTGTGGCAGCAAGACTCTGCCGGACATCTGTTTGACACTTGAGCTGGAGCCGAGTCTGGACCCACACTCGGACCCGCCACAGCTTGCCAGTTCTTAAAATATGCCATGCATGTTGCATAAACAAGACTTAAACAAAAACGAACGACAGAAGCCCAGGGCCCTTCGCCCCTCTTTTGGTCATAGCAAATATTTGCTGCCGCGTGTCGCCAACAATGAGGTGGGATGCTCCCCAAAGGGACACCCCCGGTGGCCTCCAGCTCCAGTCCGCTGCCTTTTCACTGCCAGCGTCGAGTGCGGTCTCGTTTCTACTTTGTGTGCCACTCACGTTGTGCTCGTTATTCATATTTATTGCACACGTTGTGAGGTGCCTTTCGGAGTAGACTCCACCTTCACTTGGGCTTGTACTCTGCTGCTCCACAGACAAATGGCCGGGTTGCATGTGCATTGTTCTTGGGGCAGACGCTTTTGCCACGACCCAATGTGGCTGTTGCTGTTGTTGTTGCTGTTGGTAGGCGTGGGCGTGGGTCTGGGCCTGGGCGTGCGGCCCGTGTCTAGCAGTAAAAACTTTGCAATTACAGTTATTTGATGGGATTTACAGTGCACCAGCCTCACAGTCCCTCCTAGACAGATTGTCTGGACATTCATTGTTACAACCTTGTCTATTTAGTGCGGCATGAAACGATCCCCAGATAAGCCAGATCCTGAAAAAGGCGCTAAATGACAGAGGAGTCAGTCCAGGCCCCGCAATGAACGGCAATTATAGAGGAGGGCAAGGCCAATGTTGCAAGGGTAATGTGGAACCGTTCCTGATGTTGGATTGAGTTGATAATGTATATTGTAAATTCTAAGACACATAAAATGTGTCTTGATGGATGAGGACAATTTAGGTGGAAGAAGTTCGGTGAAAATGGGATCCATCTAAATGATTGTTAGGGATGCCGCACAGTCGGACATTCCGCCGTTTTGGCTTACTAAATTAATAACTTCTAAACAAATAAAGATATCTCCATGAAACAAACTGCATTTGAAAGAACAATTTTTCAAAACTTACGAGGGGGAACGTTGTGAGTTGAGGCGGACACCGCAACTCTACAGTTATACCCGATACTTAGTCAGTATTATCAGTAATATTAAACGACACGACAAAGAATGCGTGCGAGAGAGACAGAAAATCAGTCTGAGCGTGACGTCGGGCGCTGCGTAGCCACTGCAAATTGATTTGTTCCTTTTGGCTATAAAAATCTATTATCTGACCTGATCCAGATTCAGCAATCTGATAGATATGGTCATTTTCTATGATTCTGCGTTTTTAGTTTTCTCAAATCTGCAATATTGTGGATGCAACAGATTTTCGTCTTTTGTGTGGGCGGATGGGGGTAGCGCGAAATTCTGACATATACGTTTTATAGTGACATCTTAAAGGAGTGAGATTTGTGGTTGCCCCAGATTTTCGTCCTTTGCGGGGGCGGAAGGGGGTGTGTCGAAATTTTGACACAAAACGATCAAGGTCCGATATCACAGGAGTGTGGATACCAAATTTGGTTGCTCTAGCTTTTATGGGTTCTGAGATCCTTGAACTCATATTTTGCAATTGGCAAAACCGACCATGAAACCTGTGTGTTAGAGTGAGACAGAGCGAGAACGAGTGAAATTGATTTCGTGATTCTGGCTATAATAATTATACGATCTGGTTCAGATTTTGCACTCTGTAAGATATAGTCATCTTCTACGATTCTGGGTTTTTTTTTTCTCGTATCGTCGAAATTGTGGATGCCACAGATTTTCGCCCTTTGCGGGGGCGGAAATGGGCGGGGCAAAGTTTTGAAATATTTTTGTAGCAGTGACATATTACAGAAGTCTGGATCCAAAACATCGTTGCTCTAGCTCTTATAGTCTTTGAGCACTAGGTGCTGAAGGGGACGGACAGACGGACAGACGGACGGACGGACAGACAGACAGACAGACATGGCTCAATCGACTCGGCTATTGATGCTGATCAAGAATATATATACTTTATGGAGTCGGAAACGATTCCTTCTGGACGTTACACACATCCACTTTTACCACAAATCTAATATACCCCAATACTCATTTTGTGTATCGGGTATAAAAAACCTCTAATCGAAAGCACATCAAATTTCAAGAAAATCGTTCGAGCCATTTCGGAGAAGTTCAATAACAAACATTGTAACCCAGGAATTGAAAGTATTTAAGCAATGTCACTAAGACGCAGAGGGTCAAATTTGAGTCGTCAAACGATCAAGTCTAGAACCATGCGAGATATAAGAGTACGAATTTTAGGTGAACAACTCCAAGAAAACAATGCAGATGAGTGTGTGAGCGCGTTAAAATGCTTCAAGATCCATCCGCCGAAACTTTCTCTAAAAAACTTCTGTTCAATCATCGATTCGTAAAATTCTCTCATCGATAACATATTTCCCGATGTACATACACACACAACTTGAAAATCATAATTGGCTGGCAGAAAGAGCGATTTTAGCAGCATAAAATGTGGACGTCAATGGGTTAAATTTAAAGATACAACATTGTTTGCCTAGGGACTTGGTGTCATACAAATCTATCGATGCAGTTTGCGATACCAGCGAAACTATGACTTATCCAATTGAGTTTTTAAATTCATTGGATTTGCCAGGCATGCTACTACACCATTTACAATTGAAAGTTGGATCTCGGATCATTCTGCTTCGTAGCTTGAACCTACCACGGCTGTGTAATGGCATTAAACCAGTAATGATAAACGTTATTGAAGCTATAATTTTGAATGGAAAGTTTCAATGCGAAAATGTGTTGCTGCCACGAACCCCTATGATTAATTCAGATGTGTCAATTGAATTCAAACGCAATCAATTCCCAATTAGATTGGATTTCGCTATGACGATCAATAAGTCACAAAACCAGACATTGTCTGTATGTGGCTTAGATTTGAAAATACCATGCTTTTCCCACGGACAACTACATGTTGCATGTTCTCGCGTGGGAGAACCATTCAGTTTGTTTGTGTTGACTAAAGACGGACTAACCAAGAATATTGTACGCTATATTGCGCTGAGAGACTAATCTTTATTGTTAGGTAATCTTATAATTGATAAATAAATCCCCGCATTCGCATAGTAAATAGTTATTTGTATTGAACTGATAAAATGATTCCCAGAAATAATATACATGGCAAAACAACGTTTGCCGGCTCACCTAGTCTATATATTACAATATATGCTTATGTATATGTATACACATATGTATACATACATAAGTTTTTAAATAAAAAAGTGCATATGTACTAGTATTATGTTGTATTTGACAATACTTATAATATCCAAATAGAGAATACGCCAAATGTATATACTACATACACATCACCGCAGGTGCTCACGAACACCCTGTGTTATGAAGCACAATAAAACGAATTATCATTCTGCTATGTTACAACCTTCTTATAATCCACACGTGTGTTATTTCTTCCCCACATATCATCGTCTCAATACATTTAAATTTGATATGCTGGTAATAACTCAGTTTACAATTGGCCATGGTCAATTATATGACCATGATAACATGAATATAAGATACTCGTATACGGCCATGAGATTCTTATTAAGAGTGCGGTGTGCCACATCGACAACTAGCCTGCCATAATGTGGTGGTGGCTGCTGCTCACTTTTCCTTTGACTATTCATTCTCAAAATGAGGAATGGTGCGATCCAAGCTTGTGCGAACGAGAATTGCACATACTGTGCAGGGATACTGGGGTACGTACAAATCACTTAAATACAAATACCGATCATTAATTAGGGAAAGACCCTTACGACGGGATAACAGAAGTTTTACAGCTCGTGCCCACGAGATCAGGCAAAACTCATACCAATGACAGAAAATGTCATAACGATGTTAACGCATGTGCATAACGATTTGAGAAACAAAGTAGCAGCTGGCTACAAGGATATGCCAATGGCAGCGAGAATGTTAGAGATGAGATGGGATCGGGATCTGGCGAAAGTGGCCGAGGCGGCTGTGAGGCTGTGTAGATTGGAAAAGCTCTGGTGTGCCACAACTCCAATCTATATGTGGACCGGTCAGAACGAAGCCTTGGATAAGTCTGACTGCCTCAGGAGTAGTGATTTGGTAATAAGAAAACACCTGGACGAGTGGATCAGGCAGGGAGACTATGCACGTATGAATCATTTGACTGATCCTTTCTCTGGGTAAGCAAGCATGTAAATAGACGAGCTCATTTATGTAGTTACTCAAATATTATATAGGGAAACCGCATGGCACTTTCTTCAAATGATACGCGATAGAAGTGACCGCTTTGGATGCGCCGTCAGTCGCTATACCGATAGAAATATAACTCATCAGCTAATGAAATGCATATATAAATGCACCATTGCGGTGTCCAACACCGCAAATACCGTGTACGAAGTTGCACAAAAAAACGGAGGTGAAAAATGTGTTTCAGGCCTCAGCACTGGTTACAAACAATTATGCCATAGAAGGGAAAAGGCTAAACCATGTTGGGAAAAAGGTCCACCTACCCCTTCTCCCGATCCTTGTGATCCTCCTGGTCCAAAATGTAAGCCTGGTGCTCCTGGTCCTCCTGGTCCACCAGGTCCTCCTGGTCCGCCTGGTCCACCTAGTCCACCTAGTCTACTTCCTCCCTACCCTCCGACAGATAAATACGTACCACCTCCAATACCCAAGAACCCCCCTATTCCCCCACCAGGACCTTCTTATCCCTACCCATCACCGCCTCCAATGTATGAGAGCCCCCCGCCCTGGTTCAATATATTAGGTCTCAGGACAGGTGGAGCTCCGCCAAGAAAAGCCCGACCGAGGCCTCGAATAAACTCAAAAGTGTTAGGCAGCGCGGAGTATGACTTCTCTGATTACGTACAAGATGTTGATCCCTGTGACAGCTGCACCTCGTCATCATGCAATTTAAAATATCATTGCTTTTAATTTATTCGCAAGTTTTGTAGATCAGATTCAGCCAAATTAGCACCTCATACTATTTTTAGCCAAGACAAGTCTTTAAACAAGTCTAGAAATTTTTAGATAAACTGGAAACTGTAAATACAAAATATTTAAGATAATGTTCTACATTGTTTCTTTTTGGTAAAAACACATAATAAACATGCAAAAAAAAATATTTTTATTTTACTGTGCGCTAACATTAGCGAAAGCAATTTATTTCAATAGTCCCAGCTTATTTGTGAAAATTACACACCTTTTTGCACCGGGTTAAAATTGGCACCAAAATTCGTGTGCATGTGTACATTGCTCGAAGTTAAAAATTACAAAAAAAAATTGATTAGATTTATGATGTATTGTCAATCGAATAGATTAAGAAAAAAATGTTTTTCGGATTTTGAAAATTTAGTTTATATAATTTAGATTGGTCGTTTGACCCACTGTGAGTCGGAGTAAACATAACTTGTAACATAACTGTTTACAAGAATCCAAGTGTATAATATCATTATTATCACTATCTTAAGAATCTTTTGAACTATATTCTAACGACTTAAAATGAATTACACAGCCCTGTCTGTCTGTCCGTCCCTCTCAGTGCCTAGTGCTCAAAGACTACAAGAGCTAGAGCAACGACATTTTATATCCGGACATCTGTGATATGTCACTGTTACAAAGAATATTTCAAAACTTTGCTACGCCCCCGCAGAATCATAGATAATGACCATATCTATCCGGTTGCTGAATCTGAATCAGAGCGGATCATTTATATAGCCAAACGGTACAAATAAATTTACAGTGGCTACGCAGCGCCCGACGTCCCGCTCAGACTGATTTTCTGTCCCTCTCGCACGCACTCCTTGTCGTGTCGTTTAATATTAGCGGCGTCTGCCGCAGGAGAGCCATACTGACTAAGTATCAGGTATAAATGTAGAGCTGCGGTCTCCGCAGCAACTCACAACGTTCCCAACAACGTTATTGTTAGATGGCTCTTTGATGGGTTTTAGAACACAGATGTGCAGCCAAGTATAGGAGGTAGGATGGGTATAGACGGAGAAGCCTGACAACTCCAATTCTGAAATAGGGCATAAAACATATAATTGAGTTTCTGTATCGTCTAGTCATTCCTTTTTCTCTGTCTACGATTCTATTATAGTTTTATTACTAGCATAGAATCTACGCCAATTTCCCTGAGCGGACCTTTCCAACAAGTACGCAGAGCGTGCATCCGAAACGACCCCGACCGTGTTTGCTACAGTGGGAAGTGCGCATAGTGAACCATTGTGATTTAGCTTTTATATTCATGGGGCTGCCAAACACTGATGTGCAATTGGATTTCCTTGGAAATGCAATCGAAAATTCAAGCAAGCGGATATCAATCTTTTCTGTTTTCTACGGAATAAACTTGTTAGTAATATATTCATTTATTTTTACTTTCCTGTAAAAAAAATAACAAGATGATGAAATAAATTACATTCATAGACTAATTAAGACTACCATTTTGCTTTATTATTTATGTATCTTGTTATAGTCTCTATCGTCTTCAAACTGAAGAAACTGATCTATAAAACTGTCGAATAAATTAAAAACAATGATACTTTAATTTACATGGTGTCGTGGTGCAGCTGTCACAGGGATCCACATCATGTACGTAATCGTAGAAGTCATATTCCGCGCTGCCTAACTCTTCTGCGTTGATTCTAGGCCTTGGTCGGGCTTTTCTAGATGGAGCTCCACCCGTCCTCATACCTAAGCTTCTCCACCAGGGCGGGGGGTGCTCATACATTGGAGGCGGTGATGGGGCGGGACGAATAGGTCCAGGTGGTGGAACTGGAGGGTTATTTGGTATTGGCGGTGCTATGTATATCGGGGGTGGTGGAGGTGGTGGAGGAGGTGGAGGAGGAGGTGGTGGAGGTGGAGGAGGTGGTGGTGGTGGTGGTGGTGGTGGTGGTGGTGGTGGTGGTGGTGGTGGTGGTGGCGGTGGTGGTGGTGGTGGTGGTGGTGGTGGTGGTGGTGGTGGCGGTGGTGGTGGCGGAGGTGGTGGCGGGGGTGGTGGCGGTGGTGATGGTGGTGGAGGCGGGGGAGGAGGAGGACGTGGTGGTGGCGGACCAGGAGGACCAGGTGGACCAGGAGGACCACCAGGACCAGGAGGACCACCAGGCCCAGCAGGACCACCAGGACCAGGAGGACCACCAGGCCCAGCAGGACCAGGTGGACCACCAGGCCCAGCAGGACCACCAGGACCAGGAGGACCACCAGGCCCATCAGGACCAGGTGGACCCGGGGGACCAGGCCTACATGGAGGACCTTTTGGACCAGGTGGACCTGGTGGACCAGGAGCACAAATTGGAAGAGGAGTGGTAGTCAAAGGGGCCGTTGTAGTAGTGGTAGGTTCATCTTCTTCATCTTCAAAACAAGGTATAGCGGATTCCCTTTTATGACATAGTTGTTCATAAACAGTGCTGCGGCCTGAAGCACATTTTTCACCTCCATTTGTGAGTGCAACCTCGTACACGGGATTTGTGGGGCTAGACACCGCAAAGGTGCACCTATATATGCATTTAATTAGCTGATGCGTTATATTTCTCTCGGTATAGCGACTGACGGCGCATCCAAAGCGGTCACATCTATCGCGTACCATTTGAAGAAAGTACGTCACGGTTATCCTATATAATATTTGATTATATACATAGACATATAAGCTCGTATATGTACATGCTTGCTTACCCAGAGAAAGGATCAGTCAAATGATTCTTACGTGCATAGTCTCCCTGCCTGATCCAGTCGTCTAGGTGTTTTCTTATTACCAAATCACTACTCTTGAGGCAGTCAGACATTTCCAAAGCTTCATTCTGGCCGGTCCACATATAGATTGGCGTTGTGGCACACGAGAGCTTCTCCAATCTACACAGCCTCACAGCCGCCTCGGCCACTTTCGCCAGATCCAGATCCCACTGCATCTCCAACATTCTCGCTGCCTTTGGCATATCCTTGTAGCCAGCTGCTACTTTGTTTCTCAAATCGTTATGCACATGCGTGAGCATCGATCTGACCCTTTCTGTCATTGGGATGAGTTCTGCCTGATCTCGTGGGCACGAGTTGTAAAACTTCTGTTATCCCGTTGGAAGTGTCATTCCCTAATTAATGATCGGTATTTGTATGTAAGTGATTTGTACGTACCCCATCATCCTTGCACAGTATGTGGGCACCGTTGTCGCACAAATTTGGATCGCACCATTCCTCATTTTGGGAATGAATAATCAAAGGAAAAGTGAGCAGCAGCCACCACCACATTATGGCAGGATGGTAGTCAATGAGGCCACACCACACTCTTAATAAGAGTCTCATGACTGTATCCACGTATCTTATATTCATGATTTTATGGTCATATAATTGGCCATGGCCAATTGTAAACCGATTTATTACCAGCATATCAAATTTAAATACAAGTAAATATGTTCAAGGGCGTACCCAGGATTTCTCGTTTCTCTTAAGTAGAGAGCGTAACTAGAGCATTATTTACCTCTTCTTATCATTGCATGATTTTTTCCAAAAGGTTTTTGCTGGTCTCACTCTCTTCGTGCCGAATTACGTATTACGGTTATAAATAAAAAAAAATATTTAAAAAATTACCATTCAGACATGATACAGTCGTAGTTCTTAGCCAAGTCTTCACTCTTCTCAACGTACTGAATGACCGTCCCACAGTATCCATGGTACATGGCAGAGTTAGCAGAATTTTAATGTCAAACGAATTTTGGATACAAATTGTCCTCTTTGTAAGCGGAAATCAAATCCGTACAAGTTATTTCTGCATACTGGGTATCTCATGTTCAATTCCGTGCAGAAATTTTAGCATTTGCATCGATCAAACATGTATTTTTATACCCGAGACTCAAAATGAGTATTGGGGTATATTCGATTTGTGGCAAAAGTGGATGTGTTTAACGTCCAAAACGAATCGTTTCCGACCCCATAAATTATATATATTCTTGATCAACATCAATAGCCGAGTCGATTGAGCCATGTCTGTCTGTCCGTCCGTCCGTCCGTCCGTCTGTACGTCCCTATTAGCGCCTAGTGCTGAAAGACTATAAGAGCTAGAGCAACAATGTTTTGGATCCAGATTCTGTGATATGTCACTGCTACAAGAATATTTCAAAACTTCGCCGCGCCTACTTCCGCCCCCACAAAGGACGAAAATCAGTGGCATCCACAATTTTAAAGATACTAAAAACGCAGAATCGTAGAGGATGTCTATATCTTCTAGAGTGCCAGCTGAACTAGATCGTATAATTATTATAGCCAGAGTCAAGAAAAAATTTCATTCTTTCTCGCTCTGTCTCTCTCTATTACACAGGTTCCATGGTCGGTTTTGCCAATTGCAAAATATGAGTTCAAGGATCTCAGAACCTATAAGAGCCAGAGCAACCAAATTTGGTATCCACACTTCTGAGGTATCGGACTTTGACTGTTTTGTGTCAAAATTTCGCCACACCCCCTTCCGCCCCCGCTAAGGACGAAAATCTGGGGCATCCACAAATCTCAGAGACTATTAACGCTAGAGTAACCAAATTTGGTATCCGCACTTCTGTTAGATCTCACTATAAAACGTATATAATGTATAATACGTATAATTAATGGCGTTGATGGTGATGCTGAGTTGTAAATTTGAACAGTTTTATTTTTAAAATGTATGTTGTATGGTATAGATACATATTACTGGATTTTATGATCGATTTTTACTCCATGTATTGTTTATGGGATGGCCTTTTCGATTCCTGTTAATTTTCATGAACATCTTGACGCGGTCCGGTTGAGATGTGATTTGCATGTATATTTTATTTGTGACGTGACTTGCTGTCGGGTTCCGTTCACGCTCATGAACAGTCTGCATAGTCATCAAACTGAAGAAACTGATGTATAAAACTCTCGAATAAATTAAAAACAATGATGTTTTAATTTGCAAGGTGTTGTGGTGCAGCTGTCACATGGATCCACATCATGCACGAAATCGGAGAAGTCATATTCCGCGCTACTTAACTCTTTTGAGTTGATTCGGGGCCTCGGTCGGGCTTTTCTTCGTGGTGCTCCATCTATACTCTGAGCTAATCTTGTTATCCATGGCGGGGGGTGCTCATACAGTGGAGGCGGTGATGGATAGGGAAAAGCTGGTCCAGGTGGTGCAATAGGGGGGTTCTTTGGTATTGGTGGAGGGTAGTACGTGCCTGGAGGAGGGTGGGGAGGAAGTGGATCACCAGGATCAGGAGGACGATCAGGACTAGGAGGACGATCAGGACTAGGAGGATGGTCAGGATCTGGAGGAATATTAGGACTAGGAGGACTAGGAGGACCAGGAGGACCAGGTGGACCTTTTGGACCTTCTGGACCCTCTGGACCAGGAGGACCCTTTTCACCCTGTTCACCTTTATCACCTTTTTCACCGGGCGCACCAGGTTCACCAGTCGCACCAGGTTCACCAGGTGCACCAGGTGCACCAGGCTCACCAGTTGCACCAGGTGCACCAGGTGCACCAGGCTCACCAGTTGCACCAGGTTCACCAGGTGCACCAGGCTCACCAGTTGCACCAGGTTCACCAGGCTTACAAGGTTCACATTCACCAGGAGGACCAGGTGGCCCAGGGGGACCCGGTGCACCAGTAATAGTTATTATGCTAGGAGTAGTAGATTCAGTGGTAGTGGTAGGTTCATCTTCATCCAAACATGGTATAGCCTTTTCCTTTCGATGACATAATTGGGTGTAAATAGTGCTGCGGCCTGAAGCACATTTTTCACCTCCTTTTGTGAGTGCAACCTCGTACACGGGATTTGTGGGGCTAGACACCGCAAAGGTGCACCTATATATGCATTTAATTAGCTGATGCGTTATATTTCTATCGACAAAGCGACTGACGGCGCATCCAAAGCGGTCACATCTATCGCGTACCATTTGAAGAAAGTATGTCACGGTTATCCTATATAATATTTGATTATAAACATAGACATATAAGCTCGTATATGTACATGCTTGCTTACCCAGAGAAAGGATCAGTCAAATGATTCTTACGTGCATAGTCTCCCTGCCTGATCCAGTCGTCTAGGTGTTTTCTTATTACCAAATCACTACTCTTGAGGCAGTCAGACATATCCATAGCTTCATTCTGACCGGTCCACATATACATTGGCGTTGTGGCACACCAGAGCTTCTCCAATCTACACAGCCTCACAGCCGCCTCGGCCACTTTCGCCAGATCCAGATCCCATCTCATCTCTAACATTCTCGCTGCCTTTGGCATATCCTTGTAGCCAGCTGCTACTTTGTTTCTCAAATCGTTATGCACATGCGTGAACATCGATATGACCCTATCTGTCATTGGGATGAGTTCTGCCTGATCTCGTGGGCACGAGTTGTAAAACTTCTGTTATCCCGTTGGAAGTGTCATTCCCTAATTAATGATCGGTATTTGTATGTAAGTGATTTGTACGTACCCCAGTATCCTTGCACAGTATGTGGGCACCGTTGTCGCACAAATTTGGATCGCACCATTCCTTATTTTGGGAATGAATAATCAAAGGAAAAGTGAGCAGCAGCCACCACCACATTATGGCAGGATGGTAGTCAATGGGGCACTCTTAATAAGAGTCTCATGACTGTATCCACGTATCTTATATTCATGATTTTATGGTCATATAATTGGCCATGGCCAATTGTAAACCGATTTATTACCAGCATATCAAATTTAAATACAAGTAAATATGTTCAAGGGCGTACCCAGGATTTCTCGTTTCTCTTAAGTAGAGAGCGTAACTAGAGCATTATTTACCTCTTCTTATCATTGCATGATTTTTTCCAAAAGGTTTTTGCTGGTCTCACTCTCTTCGTGCCGAATTACGTATTACGGTTATAAATAAAAAAAATATTTAAAAAATTACCATTCAGACATGATACAGTCGTAGTTCTTAGCCAAGTCTTCACTCTTCTCAACGTACTGAATGACCGTCCCACAGTATCCATGGTACATGGCAGAGTTAGCAGAATTTTAATGTCAAACGAATTTTGGATACAAATTGTCCTCTTTGTAAGCGGAAATCAAATCCGTACAAGTTATTTCTGCATACTGGGTATCTCATGTTCAATTCCGTGCAGAAATTTTAGCATTTGCATCGATCAAACATGTATTTTTATACCCGAGACTCAAAATGAGTATTGGGGTATATTCGATTTGTGGCAAAAGTGGATGTGTTTAACGTCCAAAAGGAATCGTTTCCGACCCCATAAATTATATATATTCTTGATCAACATCAATAGCCGAGTCGATTGAGCCATGTCTGTCTGTCCGTCCGTCCGTCCGTCCGTCCGTCCGTCTGTACGTCCCTATTAGCGCCTAGTGCTGAAAGACTATAAGAGCTAGAGCAACAATGTTTTGGATCCAGACTTCTGTGATATGTCACTGCTACAAGAATATTTCAAAACTTCGCCGCGCCTACTTCCGCCCCCACAAAGGACGAAAATCAGTGGCATCCACAATTTTAAAGATACGAGAAAACTAAAAACGCAGAATCGTAGAGGATGTCTATATCTTCTAGAGTGCCAGCTGAACTAGATCGTATAATTATTATAGCCAGAGTCAAGAAAAAATTTCATTCTTTCTCGCTCTGTCTCTCTCTATTACACAGGTTCCATGGTCGGTTTTGCCAATTGCAAAATATGAGTTCAAGGATCTCAGAACCTATAAGAGCCAGAGCAACCAAATTTGGTATCCACACTTCTGAGGTATCGGACTTTGACTGTTTTGTGTCAAAATTTCGCCACACCCCCTTCCGCCCCCGCTAAGGACGAAAATCTGGGGCATCCACAAATCTCAGAGACTATTAACGCTAGAGTAACCAAATTTGGTATCCGCACTTCTGTTAGATCTCACTATAAAACGTATATAATTTATAATACGTATAATTAATGGCGTTGATGGTGATGCTGAGTTGTAAATTTGAACAGTTTTATTTTTAAAATGTATGTTGTATGGTATAGATACATATTACTGGATTTTATGATCGATTTTTACTCCATGTATTGTTTATGGGATGGCCTTTTCGATTCCTGTTAATTTTCATGAACATCTTGACGCGGTCCGGTTGAGATGTGATTTGCATGTATATTTTATTTGTGACGTGACTTGCTGTCGGGTTCCGTTCACGCTCATGAACAGTCTGCATAGTCATCAAACTGAAGAAACTGATGTATAAAACTCTCGAATAAATTAAAAACAATGATGTTTTAATTTGCAAGGTGTTGTGGTGCAGCTGTCACATGGATCCACATCATGCACGAAATCGGAGAAGTCATATTCCGCGCTACTTAACTCTTTTGAGTTGATTCGGGGCCTCGGTCGGGCTTTTCTTCGTGGTGCTCCATCTATACTCTGAGCTAATCTTGTTATCCATGGCGGGGGGTGCTCATACAGTGGAGGCGGTGATGGATAGGGAAAAGCTGGTCCAGGTGGTGCAATAGGGGGGTTCTTTGGTATTGGTGGAGGGTAGTACGTGCCTGGAGGAGGGTGGGGAGGAAGTGGATCACCAGGATCAGGAGGACGATCAGGACTAGGAGGACGATCAGGACTAGGAGGATAGTCAGGAACTGGAGGAATATTAGGACTAGGAGGACTAGGAGGACCAGGAGTACCAGGTGGACCTTTTGGACCTTCTGGACCCTCTGGACCAGGAGGACCCTTTTCACCCTGTTCACCTTTATCACCTTTTTCACCTTTTTCACCGGGCGCACCAGGTTCACCAGTTGCACCAGGTTCACCAGGTGCACCAGGTGCACCAGGCTCACCAGTTGCACCAGGTGCACCAGGCTCACCAGTTGCACCAGGTTCACCAGGTGCACCAGGCTCACCAGTTGCACCAGGTGCACCAGGTTTACATTCACCAGGAGGACCAGGTGGCCCAGGGGGACCTGGTGGACCATTAATACATATTATGTTAGGAGTGGTAGATTCAGTGGTAGTGGTAGGTTCATCTTCATCCAAACATGGTATAGCCTTTTCCTTTCGATGACATAATTGGGTGTAAATAGTGCTGCGGCCTGAAGCACATTTTTCACCTCCTTTTGTGAGTGCAACCTCGTACACGGGATTTGTGGGGCTAGACACCGCAAAGGTGCACCTATGTATTGGACGTTGACATGCAATGACTGCATCTAACAAGAGGCGATGCAATTACTGCACCGTCAAGTGGCCCGTGTGACACCAGCAGAAGGCTGTTACGCGCGGATCCCAGGCAAAACGCAGCCCTCCTCCCGCCCAACCGACCGAGGGGCGCTGCCGCATGACGCGCGGTGCGTAGCCGAACCAAACGCGAGCATGCAAGAAAGATAGATATTAGACTAACCTTCGAGGAAAATTAGCACTAAACTTATTAAGAAATTAAGCATGCAAGAAAATACAAAATACAAATACCACTACAATTACTAATTACTAGAAAGGTGTGTAAGGATTAGTAATTTAATAAGAGGAAGAGAATTAGTGGAGGATATAATATGGTAGAGGGAATTATAGTCCGAGCATAAGACCCTAAACGGTTCATGCAAGGAATAATTCGATCTACAAAGTGGAAGGAACAACGGTATAAAGTTTCTAGTCAGTCTAATAGGAATCGTGAAGTTTATGCGGCTCAACAGATCAGGGCTGTCTATGTCACCCCTGATCAAGTTGTGCATAAATATCACACCAAGCATTTTTCTACGGTTAACTAAGGATGGGAGGTTTACTAATAATAGTCTACTAGAGTAAGATGGGAGTCTTACACCCGCATCCCAGTTAAGGCCCCGCAGAGCAAAGAGTAAAAAGTTTTTCTGTACTGATTCTATACGGTCCTGGTGTACTTTGTACTGAGGGCACCATACACAGGAGCCGTATTCTAAGATCGGACGAACAAGCGAGGTATAGAGAGTCTTTGTTATATAGGGGTCGTCAAATTCCTTTGACCACCTCTTTATAAACCCAAGCACGCCCATGGCCTTATTTACCATGGTAGAAATGTGTTCGGAAAACTTTAACTTGGGATCTAACATAACACCCAGATCATCCACCAGGGTAATTCTCTCAAGAGAACCCCCAAATAGGGTGTAGGGAGCCAACAAAGGGTTAGAACGATGAAATGTCATAACTTTGCATTTCGAGGCATTAAGGTGTAACAAGTTTGCACAACACCATGACTGAAAGCTATTGAGATCGGATTGCAAGCGAGAATGAAATGAAATGTCCTTGTACTGGACACAGAGTTTAACATCATCCGCATACATAAGTACTCGAGAGTATGTTATTACTGAAGGCAAGTCATTAATAAAGAGTGTGAAGAGTAAGGGGCCTAGATGGCTGCCCTGTGGTACTCCCGAAGAAACCTTTACTGGTAAAGAGAGGGAGTTTTTGAAGAGGACTCTTTGAGACCTAGAACAAAGATAGCTAGAAATCCATCTCAGGAGGTTGGGCGGAAACCCTAAAAGGTCAAGTTTATGTGCTAAAAGGGAATGGTTTACAGAGTCGAATGCTTTACTAAAGTCGGTGTAAATAACATCCGTCTGTAAGTTACCTTGAAAGCCTTTAATAATGAAAGAGGTAAACTCTAACAAGTTCGTGGTGGTTGATCGCCGCCTTATAAATCCATGCTGAGTTGGAGATATAAGTGACTTGCAGAGATGTTGCAAGTGCGGAGTTAAAACCTTCTCAAACAATTTGGGAATAGCGGATAACTTTGCTATACCTCTATAATTTTTTACATCAGACTTACTACCTTTTTTATGGAGAGGAATTATAAACGATTCCTTCCAGATTGGGGGGAAGCAAGATGAATCAATGGACATGGTGAATAGTTTAAGCAATGGTCCACACAGAGCCTCGGCGCAGTACCTGAGTACACAACCTGGAACCCCGTCTGGACCCGGTGAAAACACCGGCTTAACTAGTCGAAGATCTTGAAGTAGGGAATACTCATTTAACAAGGGACTGAAAATGCCGTTCGACCTCGGTAATCCGTATGGGTACGGTTGACCAGAGTAGCGTTCCTCAGAATAGGTAGTTTGGAAAAACTGGGCAAAAAGATCGGCAATTGCCTGATCATTATTTGCCGACGTATTACAAAATGATAGCGAGGATGGGTGTGCGGACGTTCTACGCTTACTGTTTACGAAGCAGTAAAACTGTTTAGGGTCCTGAGAAAAACGTATCCTGCAACGAGATAGGTAGTTCTTATAGCATTGAGCATTAAGAACTGAAAAGTTTGACCGAGCTATTACATAACGAGAGTGAGAAGTAGGAGAACCCACTTCTTGAAATTTTTTATAAAGTCTTGATTTTAAGTTTTTTAGACTGGATAACTCTTTGGTAAACCAAGGGGGTTTTCCAGATCTAATCGGACAAGAAAGCGGGACACAAGAATCAAAAAATGTGCCAAGAGCATTGTAAAAAATGTTTGTGGCTTTTGTGACATCAGTGCACAAGTACAAAGCGGACCAATCAAAATCCCTAATTAGGTTATTAAGCTTCGCAAACTCGGCTTTACGAAAGCAGCGGACACGTTCAGGTAGTCTACTCGACCGATCCAATACAGTTGGTCCTATGTCTAGCGACACCTCGAAAGTAGGGTGGTAGGCGTCTTCAGGTATAGTGAGCGGAAGGGCTCGGGTTAACAACACTATGGTCGGATCCGATACAAAGCATAGATCAAGCAATCGACCCAAGGAATTTTTCACATGATTGACTTGAGACAAGGACAGGTCAAGCAAGCCGTCAACAAAGTCATGTCGTGACATGGGCACTAGGATACTAGACTCGTTTACCGAAGACCAAACAGTTCCTGGCAAGTTGAAGTCACCAAGAACTATCATACGATCTTTATCAGATAGCGAGGAAGCAACAGCGGTTAAAGCGGACAAGTGCTGCTCATAAATTGAAATATCCGAAGAAGGTGGGATATACGAGCAAGTAATGAATATAGCGAAAGCGGGAAGAATCAGTTTTACACACAGGAATTCCAGTTCCTGTTGAACTTGGACTGTGAAGTGTTCTGACGTGAAGTAAGAGTCCACTGCAATTAGAACCCCTCCTGCACGTCGAGACGAACGGTCCTTTCTAAAAGTTGTGTACCGACCTGCCAAAACCTCGGAACTAAGAATGTCCGGCTTTAACCAGGTTTCAGTAAACACAATAACGTGGGAAGCAAATGCAACACTATCCCGGAAAAGAATGCTGAGCTTACTACGCAAGCCTCTTACATTCTGATAGGTTACTAAAAGAGAAGTTAGTTTTTTGCAAAGGTTGGAGCAAGACGGGAAGTTGAGGAAGAGGAAGTTGAGGTTGAGGGTGGCACGCTGGAAAGATTTGGAAGCGATATGGGGGGCCTATTCTTCTTCTTAGCCTTAAACTCCTTCACCACCAAATGCTCCGGCCAAAATTTGGTGGAGCAAATGGTGTCAAATTGAGTTGGGGAGATGCTTATCTTAAACGACGCTATCTCCCTGGCATAAGAGAAGTTATGCATATATATATATGCATTTAATTAGCTGATGCGTTATATTTCTATCGACAAAGCGACTGACGGCGCATCCAAAGCGGTCACATCTATCACGTACCATTTGAAGAAAGTACGTCACGGTTATCCTATATAATATTTGATTATAAACATAGACATATAAGCTCGTATATGTACATGCTTGCTTACCCAGAGAAAGGATCAGTCAAATGATTCTTACGTGCATAGTCTCCCTGCCTGATCCAGTCGTCTAGGTGTTTTCTTATTACCAAATCACTACTCTTGAGGCAGTCAGACATATCCATAGCTTCATTCTGACCGGTCCACATATACATTGGCGTTGTGGCACACCAGAGCTTCTCCAATCTACACAGCCTCACAGCCGCCTCGGCCACTTTCGCCAGATCCAGATCCCATCTCATCTCTAACATTCTCGCTGCCTTTGGCATATCCTTGTAGCCAGCTGCTACTTTGTTTCTCAAATCGTTATGCACATGCGTGAACATCGATATGACCCTATCTGTCATTGGGATGAGTTCTGCCTGATCTCGTGGGCACGAGTTGTAAAACTTCTGTTATCCCGTTGGAAGTGTCATTCCCTAATCAATGATCGGTATTTGTATGTAAGTGATTTGTACGTACCCCAGTATCCTTGCACAGTATGTGGGCACCGTTGTCGCACAAATTTGGATCGCACCATTCCTTATTTTGGGAATGAATAATCAAAGGAAAAGTGAGCAGCAGCCACCACCACATTATGGCAGGATGGTAGTCAATGGGGCACACCGCACTCTTAATAAGAGTCTCATGACTGTATCCACGTATCTTATATTCATGATTTTATGGTCATATAATTGGCCATGGCCAATTGTAAACCGATTTATTACCAGCATATCAAATTTAAATACAAGTAAATATGTTCAAGGGCGTACCCAGGATTTCTCGTTTCTCTTAAGTAGAGAGCGTAACTAGAGCATTATTTACCTCTTCTTATCATTGCATGATTTTTTCCAAAAGGTTTTTGCTGGTCTCACTCTCTTCGTGCCGAATTACGTATTACGGTTATAAATAAAAAAAATATTTAAAAAATTACCATTCAGACATGATACAGTCGTAGTTCTTAGCCAAGTCTTCACTCTTCTCAACGTACTGAATGACCGTCCCACAGTATCCATGGTATCCATGGCAGAGCTAGCAGAATTTTTCGGTCAAACGAAATTTTTTTTTTGTAAATTTTTAATGTTATTTAAATAAAAAGCAGATAAAAAAGTGGTGATTATATTATTCGTGAAATCGTTGTTTAACAGATTAGAGGGAAAAATATTGATCTCTGGTAATATGGATCTCTGGCACTATGTTAAAGTGGTTGTGATCAGTGTGATTGCTTTAAAATATTTCGTGGTGTAGTAATTTGAATCGAAACGCTGTGTACTACCCGAGTGGATTCTAAGAAAGTCATTATATATTACATCAGCCGTATTTTTAGATATTTATTTGTTTTATTAACTATTATCTGCTAATAATGGAACATAGTTACAAAAGGAGGAAAGGGGAAGTTAAAAGGTGATTATATTTATTACATGCTCTTAGCTTAAGGGATAGTGTAGGGTTGTGCCATATAACCTTAAAGGATTCAAGTTGGGCATAATTATACCTACATATGGGTAAGCGGATTGGGCTAAAAGTACGGATAGGTCTAAATGGAACGACAAAGTAAATCTGACCCAAGAAAGTTTGGGCGTCAACAATCCTGAGAATGAGCTTGTGAGCGAACAAGCTGCAACCTGCAATGATGGCAGGTCAATAGGGTGGATCGGTAGGGTGGAAAGATTCTACCCGAGTCCCTACAACACGTTAGAAAACAAAGCACGTTGAGTACGGTTAGAGAGATAGGACAAAATCCAATCAAGAAGATTCGTTAGGAACCCTAATAAAGAGAGCTTGTGAATAAGCAGAGCATGGTTCACAGAATCGAATGCCTTGCTGAAGTCCATAAAAACTACATCCGTCTGCAATCCAATTTGAAAACCACGGTGGATTAGGTTAGAAAACTCAAGAAGGTTAGTCGATGTTGAACGATGTCTGAAAAAACCGTGTTGCGACGGATATCAAGCTGCAACAGAGATGTTGCAGTTGCTGGGTGACCAGGAACTCAAGAAGCTTCGGGATGGCGGAAAGCTTTGCGATACCACGATAGTTCACAATATTTGATCTTGAACATTTTTTGTGAAGCGGAATGATGTAGGACTCATTCCAAATTACTGGGAGACAAGACTGTTCCAAAGAGAAGTTGAAGAGAAAGGTCAAGGGATTGCAAAAGGACTGGGCACAGTGCTTAAATACAACTTGGTACATTATCTGGACCCGCAGAAAACGATATGTCCATAGATGACATATGTACCTTACAGAACAACGCTTTCCTCGAAAATAGGCAGAACGAGGGGGAACGTTGTGATTTGCTGCGGCGACCGCAATTCTACATTTATACCCGATACATGCATAGTCAGTATGGCTACATTGAGCGACAATATGTGCGTGCGCCCTTTGATTACAGATTATCGCCCTTTGTGGGGGTGGAAGTAGGCGGGGCAAAGTTTTCAAATATACTTGTAACAGTGATATAGTGTAGCGTTCAGGTGTGGGATAGCTGTCGTTTACCCAGACTAATATGAAGAGATTTCGTGTGCACCTCTATCTATACTCTGACTAAGCTCGCCGGATTGTCGGGGTTCCTTATACTCTCTCCTATTGCATACTGACCCATACTCGCATATTTTGTTAGGTTAAAAAAAAAGAAACAATCATAAAATCAATACCAGAATCCAGGTTTGTGTAAAGTGGGGATCTTATCAATTACTCTATTCAACGGGTGAGAAACTCCGCTGTTAGTGAGTGTCTCTATCTTCTCTACACTACCAACGTATGGTATACAGGTAACCTGACCGTATAGACCCTTGAATAACGTTATACAGCTTTCATCATCCCAGTTCGATCATGGTTTTCTGAGGACGGACTCCTGACTTTAGAACATATTATAGTTATACTTCAAAATCCATTAAATTACTATATATATAATTCAATATTTGGTGGTATTCATTTTTCTTATTGAGTCTCGATAGATTTATATAATCGTACATAAATGTGTATTAATAAAGATATGAATGAATGAGAAGAAATACAAGGATGAATAAAGATATAAGGACGACAACCATAAATGGTTAATAGATTCTAAGGGGGTTAGAGGTACCAATACATTATAAAGGGGATATTAATAGAAAAATATGGGTCCATCCGTGATCGTTGAGCTCAATGATGACGTGGGTGCATACTTCTGAGGAAAAGAAAAGATATTTAATACGAGAATATAATTAATGCTAATGTTAAATGTAAAGCTGTGTACATCGTATGGCGACAGATAATAGTTTTGGCCTGGCATAAGAAATTTAGAGGAAAAGGAGAGCGATGTGTGACACCGACGAGTAATTACGATCCTCTATTGACGTGATGGGTAACAGCTAATTGCGAGACATGTCAGCCAGGCTAAGTGCACTTTCACTGATGGCTTGATAAACGGGTGGCGCTTCTTGTTTTTCGCCATGAATCGACAAGGTTGTTGAGGCTTTCGACGGCCAACGCCAAGCTGCGGGCTTCGCTTAGCGGTGTTCGTATGCAACTGATGATCGCATTATCGGTACCGTGGTTACGGGCCGCCGTCCTATAACACAAATTCTTATATTTATATATATTACCCGATATGTTTTTCTCTTCGCTGCTTTGCTGGGCAATTACTAATGACTCTCGGTCTTAATTGAAATTCCGATCAAAAGGTATTTATTTATTCCCGACTATGTTCAACTATTCGGCGAAGTTCTTTTTGATGTTTTTGGGGAAAATGTTATGGAAATTCATGAACATTTCAACATGACGGTGCACAGATACATGTCTCGATGTACTCCAAAAAAATATATTCGTGTGTTCGGTCTTCCAATTTCTTTCTATCGTTTTCTGACACCTCGACTTTTTATTAACTTAAACTCAACAGCTAGTGCAGTTTTATTTGAATACTCTTATCACTTTTAATTCATTAATATACAATTTTGAAACCTTTGAATACCCATCAACAGCTCTTATAAACATTTTGAGGTCTATTCAAAAAAATGGCTAAGGAAAGTACGACAAATGTGCTCGGCTTTCGACTTTATTCAGCTTTTATGACATTCTCCATGAAAGGGATAAAAAAGAGTTTTAATTTCATCACACTTAATCAGGCAACGATTTATTCATATTTTATTGGGGAAAGCAATAAATTCAAACAGGTGAAGGGTGAAGGTGTGAAATCGGGAAGACTTTTTTTGGTTGGTTATAGGTTGATTTATAATGTCAGGCTGGGCCTAAAAAACGGGAGCTCACTGACAATAAAACACGGCTTCGAACATTTGCACGAAAGTCAGTAGCATGAAACATACTCGTACATCTATGCACAAAAAAAAATGTATATGTATATGCTGACAAAATATCTACACCAGAGGTCTTAGGGGCTTCAGTCAGTTAGAGATTTGTGGCATAAACCATGCCGACAGTCATGTCAATACGTGATACGAATAGATATTAAAATGGTTCATGTGCCATCAGAATAAGGTGGATATGTGGATACACTTTCATATATTCCAATATGTGGGAATGATAACTTTCGGCATAAAACAACTGAGAACGAATAAATACACAAAACTGCCATACATATCTATCAACATATACATATGTGTATCATAAATAAAGACCGAACCTGAATTGTAGAATCTGTAGATACTCGAAATACCAAAAGAGTATTCACCGAAACGCACAGCTGTCAAAAAGGTCATGGGACTTGTCGAGTCAATAAAATCCGTTTGGGATTTATTTAATAAAAATTCCAAATAATAAAACAAAAAATTCACATCATAAATTATGCGCAAAGCCGTAAACCAAAATGAAGATACAAAAACAGAGCAACAGCGAAAAAATCGAAATTGATAATAAAATAAATGCAAATTGTAAATTGTAAATTAAAAATGAGAAATGCGATGATTTTTTTCGTCGCTGCGAGTTGATTTTTGTTTGATATTACCCGAGGGTGCTGTTTACTTAGTACGATTTCCGCCACATCGCGCTGAGAGCATTATAGATTTAAATAATTAAACGCAATTGTCGAAGGCTTATATTCATGACTGCCTTTATTGTTTAATTTCAGAGCTAGCAAGTGCCCTAAGAGATGTTCGGGTGCGAGTGCCACACGCAGTGCGGCGTGGAGAAAAGGGTATTCTAAAATGCTTCTACGACATCGAGGACGACAGTCTGTACTCAGTGAAGTGGTATAAAGGTAGACGCGAGTTCTACCGATACACTCCCAAGGAGACGCCGCCCATGAAGGTTTTTCATTTTCCGGGTGTTAAAGTGCGTGTAAGTCGAAAATTCTTAAACCCTTTGATCCCTAAACATTGGTTGACACAAACAGTGCTGCAAACGATAATACATTAGTACATCACAACACGTATTGTCAGTGGAAATATTTCAGCAATATTACAAATTGAAGTAATTAACTAATTATACCCGATACTCAAAATGAGTATTGGGGTATATTAGATTTGTGGTGAAAGTGAATGTGTGTAACGTCCAGAAGGAATCGTTTCCGACCCCATAAAGTATATATATTCTTGACCAGCATCAATAGCCGAGTCGATTGAGACATGTCTGTCTGTCCGTCTGTCCGTCTGTCCGTCCGTCCGTCTGTCCGTCCCCTTCAGCGCCTAATGCTCAAAGACTATAAGAGCTAGAGCAACGATGTTTTGGATCCAGACTTCTGTGATATGTCACTGCTCCAAAAATATTTCAAAACTTTGCCCCGCCCACTTCCGCCCCCACAAAGGGCGAAAATCTGTGGCATCCACAATTTCGACGATACGAGAAAATTAAAAACGCAGAATCGTAGAAGATGACTATATCTTCTAGAGTGCAAAATCTGAACCAGATCGTATAATTATTACAGCCAGAATCACGAAAACAATTTCACTCTTTCTCGCTCTGTCTCACTCTAACACACAGGTTTCATGGTCGGTTTTGCCAATTGCAAAATATGAGTTCAAGGATCTCAGAACCTATAAAAGCCAGAGCAACCAAATTTGGTATCCACACTCCTGTGATATCGGACCTTGACCGTTTCATGTCCAAATTTCGCCACACCCCCTTCCGCCCCCGCTAAGGACGAAAATCTGAGGCAACCACAAATCTCAGAGACTATTAAGGCTAGAGTAACCAAATGTGGTACACACACTCCTTTAAGATGTCACTATAAAACGTATATCTCAGAATTTCGCCCCACCCCCATCCGCCCCCACAAAGGACGAAAATCTGTTGCATCCACAATATTGCAGATTTGAGAAAACTAAAAACGCAGAATCATAGATAATGACCATATCTATTAGATTGCTGAATCTGGATCAGATCAGATCATTTTTATAGCCAAAAGGAACAAATCAATTTGCAGTGGCTACGCAGCGCCCGACGTCACGCTCAGACTGATTTTCTGTCTCTCTCGCACGCACTCTTTGTCGTGTCGTTAAATATTAGCGGCGTCTGCCGGAGGAGAGCCATACTGACTTAGTATCGGGTATAACCGTAGAGTTGCGGTGTCCGCAGCAACTCACAACGTTCCCCCTCGTTTTTCTTTCCCTTCAGCTATGCAGTTAGCTTGTGATATATTTAAGAGTTCCATTGAATTTGTACGAGTTGATCCGATTTCACGACACAATTCAGCAACTTTGATTACACATCAAGGCTGCCACCTGACCCCAGAATGACAACCAGATTGTATTCCGCAGCTGAGGGCTGTCCTTGGAAAAGAGTAACTAGTATAGTGTCATTTCGGTTCGTTCTTTATTTGGTTGTAGACACAATGCCAATCTGAGTGAAAGTAACAAACAGGAAATGTGGCAAGTGTTCATTCCACATACAGACATCCCGAACAAAAGACAGCCCGAGCAGGAAATGTATTACGTCACGAATAGGGAGAGGGGTAACCAAATAACAACATATTTTTAAGGTGCTAGAGATTTTTGTTTGTTTTTACTGCTTGTATTTTTTGGTAGGATTCTGAAATTGTTATTAGAATCCTGATCAAAGCGGTAGGTAAATGAACATACATATGTACATACATAGTACGAAAATCGATGCAAAATCAACACTATTTGTTTATTGGCTTCAGATACGATCTTATCAGTATTTTTTTTTATTTTTTGATGTTGGAAAAGGTAAAATTAAAGCTATCAAATGTCAAAAGAATTTGCAAAGGAAATAGTTATGAAATTCAGAGCTTCAAAACACTTTACTTATTGAAGAGCCACACGTGTTTTACTCTTTTCAACACATTCTATCATAGCTAGAGTTGTAGAGTCCTTTTATTCAAACAAAACCCCCTAGTGATATTCTGGCTTTACTTTTCTTTATGCCATTTGTGCAGCCAATAAAAAAAACAAAAGAACAAAACTAAATAAATTAAACTAAACTAAACGCTCTGCGGCCTCAACAATGTAAAACATTTGCATTTGGGGGGCATTCGAATTGAACCAAATGCCTCAGTTAACAGCGGGGTATGCGGGGTATGCGGAGGATGCGGGAACAGGGAGCATGGGCAGACACATGTGAAATTTCGATGCGCAATCAAATCAAAACACGGTTTTTAACTTCCGCTTGACGGCAGTTACGTAGTCGGAATACCACACATACACTCCCGAATGTTCGACTATTGAACATTTTAGAATCCCGTTTGGGTCTGGAGCTTTTTTTGGAGTCACGATTCGGGATCGGGCTGCGACTGGCACTGGTTCTGGTTCTGGTACTGGGTCTGTGGGAGTGTTGCAGCTACAAATATTTTTCAATAAATATTGGCATTTTTAACTTGTTTCACAATTTTCGAAAATTATTCAGGCATATAAAGAATACGTTGACATTTTATTTATTTGCACTCCGCTTTTGCGTGTATTCCCATTTTCCATTTTCCATACCCATTTCTCTTTCCATTTCATGTGACAGAAAAATAAGGGGAAAAGTAGAATTGGATTCTTTTGCATTCAAAGAATATTTCAGCACTGCAGCCGGGCAAAAATAGCCAGAGAATAGAATAGAAATGTTTGCTCCAAATTGGAATAGGAAAAACCAACGCAGCGAAAAATACAATATATTGGGGAAAAAAAATGTTAAAACAACATTCGAAATGTTTTTTATGGGCGCAACAATATCCGTTTTTGAAGTATGGGGAAAACAAAAATAAAATATTTCCCAATCTAAAGGTTGTATGGAATTAACGAGTTCTGTAAGCTCAATATTTGATGTGGTTATAGACTTTGGACAAACCCAAAGAGCTCAAAAATGTCACTTTATTATTTACAGGGTGTTGTTGCTGGTGCTGTTTTACTACATTGTAACAAAAATATTGAAATAAAGACATTAAAGGTGCGGTATTTTATATTACTTAATACTGTTATTATTTCATTAATATACGAGTAGGTACATATGTATGTGCTATATATCTACAAAAAAAGCGTGCATCCAAATAATAACGAAAATATAAATGTATAAATGAAGACCACCGATGAAAGTTTTCTCAAAAAAAAAAAAAAATACATCCACATGCATGCTCGTATATTTTGAAACCGGAAGGAATATAACGAGATACGTTTGTGGGACCATTTTTCAGACAGGCAGCATACACGATTCGAACACATCCTCGTACCCGTACATAAAAAAATATATGTACTTATACGTTTGTTCAGTAAAATTTTTTAAGCAAATTTATTTCGGTCACTTCCTCATCGTGCTGCTTTTTTCCTTGCCTTTTTTTCAGCGCGTATCCTCGAACGAGAGCCAAGTGGTGCTGGATGCGGTAACAATGGCAACATCCGGTAAATACAGTTGTGAAGTTTCGGCGGATGCGCCCTCATTTCATACATTAATAGCGGCTGCCGAATTGGAGGTTATTGGTAAGTCATAAAGGCAATCGTATAAAGAAAAGGAATCGTCAGATACCAATTTTTGGGCCATTATTGTATGCCTGTGATATCTTTGAAAGAGTTTTTTGTGGAGCAGGAAGTCACCAACTGAGCAATAAACAAGGCGGGGAAATACTAAAAATAAACATTTGAAACCTTTAAGGCGAAAAAACTCAAGTAATTTTCATCCTTTTAGCCATTCAATGAAAAACAAAATCAGTTTTCAGTTCAAGTTTTTGATACAGACTTAGAAATCAAACTAGCCCGATCCGGAGGCCATGACAGGGCCAAACTTGCCTGTTGACCAGCTGCCATATGTGGTGGGCCGAGGGGACGAGTTCAATTGGCCAGGACAAAACTGACGTGGCCAGAAGTAACTGGAAAGCTTGTGTGTGAACATGACAACTTAAACTTAAAAATAAACTCTTGAAGTTCGAATGTTTTGGCAGTTAAGCAGACAAAATACCAGGAGATTTGCGGGCAAACGAGACGAAGATGAAGATATTTAGGCGAGCAAACAAAATGAAAGCCCGGAGTGCAAATGTTTTGCCAAAGCCAGAGACGGTCAATAAACTGTCGAAGTGGCTGTGACTATGGCTATGACTGTGACTGTGTGTTTTTCAGTGGAGGGTTTTCAAGGGGCATTCGATATGTTGACGGAGGTAGTCTCAAATTGGCTTGACAAACTTTTGGAAGTGTCTATTTCATGTTTACATATATGTCTCATGTGCTGCCTGGGGGAGAGTTTGTTTGTAGATTCCCATTTTGACTCTTATGGATAATAGACAGACAGTAAGTGAAGTGACTTTGACAGCTCTATGTGGATAAGCATTTGTTTTTTACTGCTGAGAATATTCAAGGTTTTATTCCGACTGAACGGACGTTCCGACTGGATTTGCCAGTGCTCACAAATATTTAAATTATGAAATGGGTTGAGGCACATTCAGAAACCAGGTACACACACAGCGATTCCAATTGACAGTCGGACAGCTGGACAGCCGGACAGCCGGACATCGTTTCAGGTCAGATTCGGGGGTTTCTCAATGCCGCAGTGTATCAGAAATATAGCGACCATCGATGGTTAAGCCGGGTCGCCCATCCCTTCCAGTATACATGTACATTCATACATACCTACCTCTGATATCTGATGGCATCTCTTTTGCTCTACCGTTTACAGAGACACCGCACAATGCGCCATTCATAACGGGAATACGTTCCCGATACCGGGTCGGCGACATATTGCGAGGTAATTGCACATCGCGACACTCCCGGCCCGCGGCCAATCTCACATGGACAGTGAATAATGAAGAGGTGAGTACCATTGAAAAGCCCCACACCCGCAGCCCAGCCCCGTCATGCGCCCCGTCATCGTTCCCCCTAGATGCGCCCGAAATTATGCAAACACAATTTTCTTGTTTTTAAGCGTTGGCATCTGGCTGGAATTTATGCGTCTGTTTTTGGTCGAATAGCTGTGGGGAAGCGTGGAACGGGGCCACAGGGAGGGCAGGTTAAGCCCACTCTGTAATTACCAGAAAAACACACGCATTCGTGGAGATCAACGCACTGGTGACACTCCCATCCATATCCATACACCATACACCCATTCATTATGCCGCCCCGGAATGGATCGAACGTCAAACTTAGTCTGTCGATTTTTTTTCTCCTACACTTTCGGGAAACCTTTTATATATACTGTTCCGCTAGCATATGGGGAATATTCCGATTGGGGTTTGGCATTATGAAATGGGCCAAATTGAGAGCCAAAAGAGCACTCGAGTCGGCAGACAATTTTCCCAGTTCGGCGTTTTGCATTTTACATAACTCTGTTTTTTTCCTCCCGAGGGATACGCCTACTAATTGTTGGTGTCAATGCAAACAAGGTTCGAAGAATTCGAAGAAAGATAAAGATAGCTCGAATCAAACAATTAAGCACAACTTTAAAAGAAAATTTTGAACTTGATGTTTTCTGACAGATTGCATTTTTGAAGAGGAAATAATGGAATAATTGGAATAATAATTGGAAAAAATTTATATACATATGCATATGAAATGTGAAATTTGTAATTTTTAATATGGATGTCATGACATGCATCTGAGAGCAATACAAAAACAATTAATAGAAAGTGTTCTACAATTAGTAATTAGCATAGTTGGAAGATATTTTTATACCCGATACTCAAAATGAGTATTGGGGTATATTAGATTTGTGGTAAAAGTGGATGTGTGTAACGTCCAGAAGGAATCGTTTCCGACCCCATAAAGTATATATATTCTTGATCAGCATCAATAGCCGAGTCGATTGAGCCATGTCTGTCTGTCCGTCTGTCCGTCCGTCCGTCTGTCCGTCTGTCCGTCTGTCCGTCTGTCCGTCTGTCCGTCTGTCCGTCCCCTTCAGCGCCTAATGCTCAAAGACTATAAGAGCTAGAGCAACGATGTTTTGGATCCAGACTTCTGTGATATGTCACTGCTCCAAAAATATTTCAAAACTTTGCCCCGCCCACTTCCGCCCCCACAAAGGGCGAAAATCTGTGGCATCCACAATTTCGACGATACGAGAAAACTAAAAACGCAGAATCGTAGAAGATGACTATATCTTCTAGAGTGCAAAATCTGAACCAGATCGTATAATTATTACAGCCAGAATCACGAAAACAATTTCACTCTTTCTCGCTCTGTCTCACTCTAACACACAGGTTTCATGGTCGGTTTTGCCAATTGCAAAATATGAGTTCAAGGATCTCAGAACCTATAAAAGCCAGAGCAACCAAATTTGGTATCCACACTCCTGTGATATCGGACCTTGACCGTTTCCTGTCCAAATTTCGCCACACCCCCTTCCGCCCCCGCAAAGGACGAAAGTCTGAGGCAACCACAAATCTCAGAGACTATTAAGGCTAGAGTAACCAAATTTGGTACACACACTCCTTTAAGATGTCACTATAAAACTTATATCTCAGAATTTCGCCCCACCCCCATCCGCCCCCACAAAGGACGAAAATCTGTTGCATCCACAATATTGCAGATTTGAGAAAACTAAAAACGCAGAATCATAGATAATAACCATATCTATCAGGTTGCTGAATCTGGATCAGATCAGATCATTTTCATAGCCAAAAGGAGCAAATCAATTTGCACTGGCTACGCAGCGCCCGACATCACGCTCAGACTGATTTTCTGTCTCTCTCGCACGCACTCTTTGTCGTGTCGTTAAATATTAGCGGCGTCTGCCGGAGGAGAGCCATACTGACTTAGTATCGGGTATAACCGTAGAGTTGCGGTGTCCGCAGCAACTCACAACGTTCCCCCTCGTTTTGTCTCATTTTGTTTATGCATTGATATTTTCCTATGCTAAATATGCTAGCGATCCATAAAGTCGCAACCTCAAGGCGAAATGTGACTTTCCGGGAAAACAAAACACAGAATAAACAATAAAAGACTTTTGCCTAAATGATTAGTTTACATATTTACGTATGTATATATGTGAAAGAGAAAGAGATATGGAGGAAGAGAGAGAGAGAAACCTAGCAAGAGAACAGCAGGCAGCGCCAATTTCAACGTCACTCAACGGCTAACAATGCTTATTGATGCTGCATAATAGGAGCACAGAGGAAGGTGGCAGTGAGCCGGTGGTGGCAGGAAAACAAAGCACACACATACCGACACCCCCTCTCATACACATACACACGCATACCTACAGAGACCGCAATTCCGCGTTGGGTGCACGAATTGGTTGTCGAGCTATAGAGTCGGACTTGGCCATGGTCGATGGTCGATGGTAGGTTGATTGGATATGCGGAGCTGTCGCTATTTCTACCCAGCAACAGCCCCGTCCGCCCTGTTGCCCACAAAATCCGCTTAAACAATAAGCCAGAGAAACATACCACCAAAACCAGTCAACAATCAACTATTCCAGCGAGAGAACAGAACAACTGCCAAAATAGAGGAACAAAAGGAAAACAAGCTGGCATTCCCTTCCGAAAGAAAAACCTCAAGTGGTACCGTAAAACCACCGTGGGGAGGGGTGGAGGGGAGGAAGATCGCGGAGGTTGCGGGGCAACAGACAAATTAATTTGCAGCCATGAAGTCAATCGAAGTCAATGCCCCGGCAGGCCATCCCCAATCGCCAAAAGGGATAATGGCCCAGGAATTTGTTTTAAAATACCTTCCCTTACGAGCGCAAACACCTGCCTGGTTAGCTGTTGCCTAACGCCACTTTGAACCATATTTTGCAATTCAGAGCGAATTTCATCTATTGTATTGGTCTTTGCTGCTTGGCGCAGTGGGTGAAGTGACCAATCTAGCAGGACAAAACCTCCAGCTCCCAAGATACTGAATATAACATAAATCTGGTTTTACAGAAAGATGTAGAAAAAATGAAATTAGTTTTTGCCTAAAACCTTTTTTTATTCAAATATTTAAAAAAAAATATTTTTAAATTTAAAAATGAAAAAAAAAATTGTTTTGATTGGTTTTTAAATGAATTCGCATGAAAGTTCAACAACAACAAAATAAATTAATATTAATTATTGTCACTGTGTAGATCATTGAAGTTGGTAAAGTAACTTTTTATATTTTTATTTTTTACCAGCATCAATTTTTGCCCGATATTTAGGGTATTCTTGGTTTCTGAATTTACTTTAAATAACTGTCGTAACTATTGTAACAAAAAACACATTTACTTGAAAATATGGCTTCCACTTTGAAACCTGTGTAGCTGAAAGAGTACGTGGAATATTGAAATAAACCTTACAGCTGCAGCTTGCAGCTGCCGATCTACCGATGTCAGATTCGAATTTTTGAGCATTAAGTCAAAAAAAAGTTTTTGAAATCTCGCATTGCACAAATGAGGTTTTTATCCTGTTAGCTTGGTCGTTTCACCCGCTAAGAATAAAATGTATTGTAGCTATTCTCAATATCTCAAACTTAATTTAATTTGATTGTAAAATTGTTTGATGTTTTGAAAAATCCTCCACAATTGTTCCAGGTGAATCCCTCGCACGTGCGGCATCACAAAATCGTTGTGGAGACTCGCAACGATATGCAGACCTCCATTGTGGGCATCCACTTCGTGGTCACCGATCAGCACTTCGACAACGGCAAGCTAAAGGTGAGTCGAGGATGTCCAATATGTCTGCTAGAAATGACTTTTAACCCGCTAATTGGTTGACCCTGCAGCTCCGGTGCAGTGCCCAGCTGCACGACGTGTACTGGAAGACCACCGAGAAGACCATCCTCGAGGCGGATCCATTTACCAAGTACGGCAGCGGAGGGGCCAGCGGGAACCGCGTCAGCCCCGACGAGTTCTACGACCAGTACACGCACGAAGACGAGCAGTTCCACAGCAAGAAGAACAGCTATCTGACACAGCTGCAGGGTAAGTAGAGCTCCAATTAGAGGAGCCCGAGTGGACGAAACACACATAATACACCACACAGCCGATACACACACAATAGCACTGACAGAATACCTGCCCTCGTACTCGTAAGAGACGATAAGTAGAACAAAGAACAACCAGAATACATACATCGAATACATGGCCTGCATTTGTCTGTGTCTTTCTCTATTTTTCGCTAGACTTTCTCTTTCATTCCTCAGGCGAAGAAGACGACGGAGCCGAAGGAGCGGAGGATGGCGGCGCCGCCTGGCGGGGCGTGGGCTCGGGCTCGTCCAGCTGCTGTCCGAGTCAATCTTTGGCAGTCAGTGGATCGCTGCTGGCGGTGCTCGGCTGGACGCTAGGCAGGCAATTAGTGTCGCAGTTGCAGGCGCTAACAAGCGGCGCCGGCATTGCAGCAAGTGGCACAACCAGCAGCAACAGAAGGTGCACCAGCCACCGGACACATTCCGGACACATGCGGGTCAGCGCCACAAAGCAACGGCAGCGGCGGGTTCATGGCCTCCGGGCGTCCGACTGCAGCTGGAGAGGATGCACAATCGGCAGGACCAACGACAGCAACAACAGCAGCAGCAGTTGCATCAGGCAATTAACATGATTCAATTGTCATGCAACTCTTGTGCCACATTATGGGGAGGGGGAGATGAACGGGATGCGAGAGTAGGGAGCGCGTTGGAGGGAAGAGCTGTAGCAATACATATACCCGTAGAGATGCCAGAATGCGCAGAGCAGAGCAAATGCGATGCTGAGGAGGTTAGAGATGTGAGAGTTCAGCCCTAGGCCAAGACCCAGAAGCAAAAGCAACCACTGCAAAATGTATCTAAAATATTTACACATTCATACACTAAGACACAAGACACTCGTTTCAGCTAGCTCAAAGTAACTTCGAATGCATTTATGGCATACAACAAAAAAAATATATATATAAAGACACACAAAAGTGACCCATTATAAAGTATGGGAGCTATTTCATAAAAAATGCAGCGAAATATTTGTTCATTTCTTCATGAGACAAAAGGGGAATCGAAGAGGTGTTTCCAAAAGGGGTTCCCAAAAACGGTATAGAGTCCTTTTTGGAACCACATCAAAACCGCTCCATTTCATCAAATGAAGAAGAAAAAACGGAAAATGTTGTGCTAAGCTTTTCACTTTCAGTTCTCTATAAAAATATATTTATATATCAAAGTCAAGATTATTTATAATTGATATAAATGATATTTATATATATGTATGTATATGTGCTATATAAAATTATATATACATAAATGTAATACCAAAATAGTGGAGGATCCACAAAGACAAAAACGAATTAAGAGGATTGGCAAAGGGCAGAAGAGCAATTAGATTGTAAGTCTTAATATTGCCTATAAGTCTATAAAAAAATTACATATAGTATGTATTGTACTTGTATATAATATATAAATGAAACGAAAACCAAAAATCGAGATATGTATGAGATAAGTATTTACGGTAGATAATCAAAATAAAAACCAAAAGCGAAGAAAAATAAGAAGTTTTTAATTAGGTTTGTTGAAAAATTTGGGATACAAATTGAAGGAAAGTAAGTAGATGGTTACTTCATAATACATATTAAAATAATAATATAATGGCTGAGAAGCATATCCGTAACTCAATGGAAAATGTATAGATTAATAATTTGATCTCTTATAATAATAATCTGTGTACACTTTCTTTTCAACAAATTAGTTCTTACACAAATCTTCTGTTTTCATAACAAGAGTGGTCCGGTATTCCATTTCCAATTTGCTCATTCTTCCATACAATAAAATAATTAATTAGTATGCATTCGTCAACGCCTCACGCCCACCCGGCCAGCACCCTTAATGATCCCAGGCATTTCACTTATAACAAATGACACACAATAAATGCGAGCTGGAGCCATCAAGCGGCCACCCAGAAAAAGGACATCCCTCAGTTGGCCATTTTCCTGGCTTACTTGCAGTTGTTGCCCCCCAAACAATTAGCATAACTAAAACGCTCAATTAAGCGCCTAAAATGCTGCTGTGGAAGGCAACCAAGCACCCTCAATTTTCTTGGGAAACTCCACTTTTCTCTGCTCTTCAGACTAATGCAATTTTCACCTGGCTGCTACTCTCATTTTATTACACATTTCTTTGCCTTTGCTGGCTGCTTTTTTCCTTTTCCTTTGTCTTTTCATTTTTTTCCTTTCTTTTTTTCCTTCGTTTCTTGGATTTGTGTAACATTTTTCCTTCCATTCTCTGTCGCCGCGTAATGTTTATTTTTAATTATATTTTTTTCGCCCATTGTTTCTTTATACTGTTGTCTTTTTTTTGGTTTTCCCTGTTCCTGTGCTCTTTGGTTTTTGCTGGCACTTGGTGGGTGTAATAAACGTTAATGGCGGTTGGCCACAAAGAGAAATGGTCGCACTTCGTTCTCGTCCTCCTCCTGATTAGCCCTTGCACACACAGAGACACACAAAGATACATTAGGTTTAATTGTGCAACGTTTAATTGGATATTTGTTATCAGATGCTTAGTGGCTTAATTATTTGGCATAGCTCATTCTAGGCTAAGAAATATAAAATCATATTTCTACAAGCAAGAGAATTGTATGCCATTTCAAGCGTATCGTTGGTCGCAAAAGTTCGCAACAAAAAGCGGCTAAAAGCATTTAACAGAAAACGTCGAGCCAAAAAAAGTGCACGAAAGCCAAAGAACTTTCTATTCATTTTCGGGTAGTTTTTTTGTTGGCTGAAGCTGGTAGAAAGTTTTCTTTAGAAAAAAAATATTTAAAAAAAAATCAAGAAAGTTGGCTTCTTAGAGGAGACGTAAAGCGGCTTTTAAAAATGTTCCAGGCGCAACTTGGCTTTGGCTTTTCACTTAGCAAACAGCAACACCAACAGCACCAACAACAGGCAGATACATTCAGGAGGATGTAGCTACATATTCATAATGCTGATTGTCCCTGTTGTTGCTCCCTCCTGCTGTCGCCCTTCTACTCGTTGTCCCGGAGATGGAGATTGAAAATTTATTCAAAAGTCTGCCGAGTTTTGTCAAGTCTGGCGAGGGACAGGCGCCAGCAGGCGGACGAGTCTTGCAAGTGGCGCTGCCTCGGGATAATAACTTTAACTTGAAAAGTAGCTAGGCAAGCCGCTTTCGCTTGTTAGTTTCTCGCATTACCAACCCTCCCCCACCGCGGAACTGAAATTTAAATTTGGGGATACGTTTAAGTAGAAGAAAGTAAAAGCTGTCGCTTGTCATAATTGTGCGGCAATTCTCACAGAGTCAAGATGTTTGCCATGAATACTATACGTCACTAGGACCTCTTAAGGGCTTATGCATTCAAACTCAACGCACTAGAATTAGGAATTAGCAAATGATCCGTCATCATTTAGTGTCATTTTTACTTTGAGCGTTAAACTTAAATAATTAATTTCGTGGAAAAAAGCTTTCGAAATGCCTTATAAAACTGTTCTCTAAAGATTGGTAAATATATTGAAAAACCTGTCGAATCTTTAGTAACGGGGGGAGGAGGATTCTTACTAAGTTTGTTGGATGTATACCTATTCAGCTAACAATTAGTTTCAGAGATTATTATTAATCCTAATCAAAGATCAAAGCACCATGTTTTACAGAGACTCTATAGCATGGTTAGCGAGATCGCGACATAGTCTCATATTTTGAAATTACTAAATACTACTACTAAATTACTAAATAAATAAATTACTAAATAGTCCGATAAGTGATGCTATTGGCAATATTTTTTCTTTTAAATGATGAACTTTTACCATCGATTTATATACATTATACATAATATCATATGTATTATTAGGTATAATACATTAGGTATAACAATTAGGTAACAGAAGGTTACATTTTTATTAGTCCAGGAAAAATTACAAAAATCTAAAAATATTAGGTATAAACGTGTATGTTCCCATTTCGGATGGGAACAGTTTCCCAACAGGATGCTTACATAACACTTTCTATGCGTCTGTCCCCACCTGCTTATCACACGAATATAAAATGAAGCTTTCAACAGATGCAAGTGCAAATAAAGTCACGCATGTAGTATTCGCCGCACCGCCAGCACCGTCCCCTACTCCAACTACCCAGCTCTGTGGCATGACTTTGGGGTACACCGCACACCAGCAACCACATGACACACAGCCAAACAAACGAACAAACTCACGCACAAACACATTTAAAGTCATAAATTTTTATTTATATGATGATGACTTAAGTTCTACGTGCGTAACCTGTATCACCTTAACCACCCACCCGAAGCCACAGAGAGCACCGAAAGCACCACCTGCAGCTACAGCTCTCCTTCTCCTCCACCAGACAGTTACAACTTCCTTTGGCTGGGCTTTAGTTAAGTGCATGATTATGCTTTTAGTGGCATGTTGAGGTTTTGTCAGTCAGTTTGGCATGCTGGCTTTTCACTTCGGCCATCACACATCACCAATCCCCCACACTGACAGACCCCAAGCCAGACCCCAACTCTGATTCAGATTCCAAAACTGAACTTCAAATTCTTTTTGTTGCACTGCAAGAACCGGGACAGGTGTTGGTCGGTCTTCGGCTCTGGCATACGTGGGCTAATAGGAAATTCCCTTTAGAAATTTTCATCCCGCTTTACTTCTTTATGGCTATGGTTTTTCATTTATTTTTCGGTTTTAATTTCGAGTTCTGTCCTTCAATCTCTGTTGCACACCTCGCCAAAGGTAACTCCTTAGCCGCTTCGGTGCGAAGCTCCTGTTAGTTATTTTTTTAAACTATATAGTTACTGAAGTTAATACTGGAAGCTGTTGTTCGGCTGGGGTTAGGCTACAGCATTGGATTGGTGGTTTTGAAACCGAAAAACTCACATAATTTAGATAAAAAGCTTGTAACAATTAGGAAAATATATGTATACCTGACAAAAACCAAACTTTGTGAAATTGATAAAGTTAAAGATATCTTAAAAAATATTGAATAAAAAGTTTTAATAATTCATGAATAATTGCATGAAGGGAATGATAGGATTATTGCTAATTACCAAGTCGCAAACCTCATAAAAATCACTAAAATATAGAAGAGAGCAAAGTTATGGCCAGTGTTTCATATCTATTTTTGCGACCTCGTTGATAGAATAATAGAAATAATAATAAAAAACGTATCTACTGAATAGAACATAAATTTAGTGCATACTTTGCGGTGTTTTCGTCCAGAAAGTATGCAATCAACTTTGATGGTCATATGTTAAAGAAGGAAAAGCACATATGTACATACCAACATAAATACCAAAAAACTACAAGTCAATGAGGAAAAAGAGACATTCACCCAAACTGGCAGTAAAAAAGATCTATGAATCATACAGACAGAGCAACAAACTAACAAAATGTCATATAAATTTTAATAAGCGACTCCATAAAATATACGAGCATAATTATCGGCGAGAAGGCAAGTCAAATAAAAATTGTATGGACGAGCAAACAGCTGGAAGTGTGTAAATTATTGTGTCGAGCCAGAGGAATTAAAACATTTGCCGGAGAGAGTGGCACTGCCACAAAGACCAGACAGACAATCCAGACAGTGTCTGCCAGGCCCAAGCCCAGACCCAGGCCCAGGCCCAAGCACTTCCTCATGAGTCATGCCAGCGCAGAGCTTGCCAAATATGCAGCTGACGTAAAAATAAGCATCAACATAAATTTAAGTCAAACAAAGCGTAACGCGTTTCTTTTTTTTACATACTCGTACATACTCGTATAAAAGTAGATTTTTCTTCGAGTTTCGAGTTGGGGTAAAAGCAAGTTTGTCGCGTTGCCAAGAGCCAAACTAGATTCTAATGTGGCCGACGCAGTTCGTCTCTCACTCTGAAAATGTTGCCTTTTATAAGGCGTAAACACTCACAATGCGAATGCGAATGCGAATGCCAAACTCACACTCCACTCGTGTGTACTTTCTCTATATTCACGAATGCTTTTTCCCTCTGTTGGGCTTTCACCCACCGCAGCCCTACACCACAATTATGTGAGAAGATTCGAGAAGGCCAGCATTTTCTCTTGTCGCCTGAACAAGCACAAAAAGAGACCAAAAAAAACTAGAAGGAACGTTAGGTTTCATCGACCCGAATGTCGAAATACACTTGCTGCTCGACTAAAAGGATAACCCATTGAGCGACTCGATTAGATAGAAACTTTGGGAAGGACACTACTATAT